GTTCCCTAGTTGGGTCATGAAACGTCTGCAAGGAAACCACCCAGCTCAGACGGCACCAAGGACCCCACAGTCGTCATTCTCCTCCTCTTTCTCCTTTTCCTTCTACTCCCAATCCTCCTCTTCCTCTCTGCAAACCCCCCCCCTCCCTTCTAGCACTGATGACGTTCCCTAGTTGGGTCACGAAAACCTCTTCAAGAAACCCACCCAGCTCAGAGAGCACCAAGGACCCCACAGATCTAACCGATCCCCCTACCCCAGTTTTGTCTTTCATCTTATCCCAATGTCGGCTGTTCAGCCCACCTGCTGCGTAAGGCCACCCGCCCGCCTCTTCTGCCAACTCACCGTACAGCCTCTCCCGAGTCCCCATCCGTTCTGCTGGGACCCGAACCCTCATGGACCCCCGAATGTTGCCCGTCTCCTCCCCCCGGTGGGAGAGGTAGGTGAGGAACTGCTGCGCCGTGCTCCCGATCATAGATTTGAGGGCGATGACGCACTCTCCTGGGGAGGGAAGCAACAGAGTTGGTGGGCCAGGAGGCACCAGGGGATAGGATCTTGGGTTGGGTTGGGTTGACTCATGGCCAGCGAGTTGGTCGATGCTCGAAACATGGCTTGACCGAAGGCTCAGGGAATGGATCTGGGGGACTCACCCTCTCCGGGCTCACAATTTCCGAACTGTGGAGAAGTTGAGCCTCTCCATTCAGTTAGGAATCCCTTATTCTGCCACTGATTGAGGGCATCTATTATGGCCTGTCAGCTGCAAGGAGGAGGAGGAGGAGGCGTGGGAGTTGGGGTCAACATCAGGGCAAACCGAGAGCTCTGAGGGGGAAGAGCCTGGGCCGGCCGTCAGCCCTCAGATGGAGAGTCAATAGTCCCCAGGTCTGGAGGTGGCTGATGTAGAAGAGGAGGAACAGCCGGGTCCAGTGCCTGATGCACAGAAGGGAGAGGAGAGAAGAGCAGTGGAAATCTGTGGGCCGGTCCTCGGGACGAGAGCTTCGAGGGGGAATAAAACGAGAGATTGAGAGAGAGGGAGGGAGGGAGGGAGAGCACCTGAACTGTCCGTTAGCCCTCAGATGGAGAGTCAATAGTCCCCAGGTCTGGAGGAGGCTGATGAGGAAGAGGAGGAACAGCTGGGTCCAGTGCCTGATGCGCAGAGGGAGAGGAGAGGAGAGGAGAGGAGAGGAGAGGAGAGGAGAGGAGAGGAGAGGAGAGCAGTGGAAATCTATGGGCCGGTCCTTGGGACGGAAGAGCCACCGCTGCTAGCGAAGCCCCACCCAGGCTCTGGAGGTAAAAGGCAGGGGAGGAGACGAATAGATGTGGCAGACAACGATTCCTTCCCAGCTGGACGGACTTGTTAGCCTGAGGCGAGAGAGGAACGTTTTGCCGGGGCTCCTCATAAAGGAAATATTGATTTAAACAAAGAAGGTTTGTCGTGTTTGGGAGCCGGATCAGAAGTAGCTTCTCAGTTGATCCAATGAACGCTGAATCCCACTTAGCTTATCAAGGTGAAGAGACCAATCGGCCTGCTCATATTTTCCCACCTGCAATTCTGAGACCATCTCCAGCAGGGACCCCCATATACTGGGCCCGTGGATCAGTACCGGACTGCGGCCTGTTAAGAACCGGGCCACACAACACGGGGCAAGCAAGCCAAGTTTTAACTGCGTCTACGCGGGATCTGTTGGGTATATGGATACTCCAACTGGTTTGGGTTGAATAAATATGTAAACCTAGGATTAAGTGCTATGTAGCTTTAAGCTAGAAACTGCAATGTCATTGTGGGTGCGGTTGCAGGCAGCCATATAGGTAGGAGGGGAAACGTAATAGCCCCGGCTTCTGGATGCAACTGTCTGAGTCCGGCTTCTGGATGCACCTGGTTACTGTTCCTGGTCTGTTGCCTACTGTGTTGGAACGTCTATCTGCTTACTTTGGAGGCTACTGTGCCAGATACCAAATTCAACTGAACACAAGGACTGTTTGTTTGGTGAGCTGAGGATTCAGCATTGTACTTGAGAGAAAGGTATCTTAAGAAGAAGATATACAAGCAGATAAAGACATTGTATTTACTGTTTAAAGAGACTTGATAACTGTATGGATAAACTGGATACTGATATATGGACCGAATGACTATTCTTAATCTCTGTATGAATTAAATACCTATTTAAACCACAAACAGTGTATTTGTCTCAAGTGTGTGTATACTCCTGGGCCCAGCCTCTCTCTCATTTGGCTGCCTGGCATGACTGCTGCTGTGCACTCAGCTAAGGGGTTTATCCCCAAACACTAACAGGATCTAAGTCACTCGTGAAACCATCCTCCTCCCGGTCCGTGGAAAAATGGCATTTCACGAAAACGGTCCCCGGTGCCAGAAGGGTTAGGGGGACCCCCGATCCACAGGGAAGACGCGTCTCCATGACCTTGGTGAACTTATGCAAGCGACGGCTTCGACAAGGGAAGCGGGGTGCAAGATGAGGTCTAACAACCTTGGCGACTGTTGAGATGGGTGGACCTCAACAATTCGTTCCCTTGCCCAGCGGGGAGGCGAGAAGGAGTTTAGACAACAAGGACAAGGGTCTTAAAAATGGAGCGTGAGAATTGAAATGGGAAGATTATTATTAGTTTTCAAAATTATTTGAAGGGATTAAAATGGGGGAAATCAATTTGCTATGTTACTGTTTTCAGCATAAATATAAAACTTAGAATGCGATGGAGAAAAGGGAACGCTGTGTGGAATATGATTTTATTTATTTATGTGTGTGTGTGTAAATGACATATAGTAGTTAAGGGATTATTGTTATTAATGTAGAATGTGGTAATTAAAAAATGACTATATTAACATACATTTTTGATAATGAATTAAAGGGAGTAAAATGGGGAAAATATACAAGATAAAGGGGTGGCTAGCTTGAATTGACAATGAAAGGGGATAACTTTTGGATAATAAGATTTAAGGCGAACTTTAAGGAACAATGAATGGAATAATACTGTAGTATGTGAAAAAAATTACAAGTGTGACGGATATAAGAAAATGCATGTAATGAGTATAGAAACTGAGTAAGAATTAAGATAATATTGTGAAATAAGGTAAGAGAACATTTAAAGAAAAACGAAATGAGCTACAATTGTGAAGTGAATTTGGATAAAAGGAATGTAATGAATATAATAATTGTAGGAGAATACTTAAAGAAAAGTGGAACAAGTAATAATATGACATGAAATTGAATATGGACATTGAATATGTAATTAGGGTCATGTTTGTATTGAAATGTAAAAACCTGGAACCACGTTGTCCAGCAAAAGAGATGCTTTTTAAAAAATAACAATTTAAAACAAATATTGCGAAAAAATTAAAAAAGGGTTAGGTCTTGGAGACCCACTGGACTAGGAGTCACCAAACTTGGCCACTGTAATACTTGTGGACTTCAACTCCCAGAATTCTCCAGCCAGCTGGGAGTTGTAGCCCACAAGCCATAAAGTGGCCAAGTTTGGAGACCTCTGCACTAGACAGTTTCAGCTCCTCACCGTAGGACTCGTAGCCATCCATGGATTTGACGGTCAACAGGATATGCTGGTCTTGCAAGTATTCGATGTCCGAGAGGATTGGCTTGAGCTGCGGGCAAGAAAAGTCAGAGATGGTGGCCACATTAGCTAGCATTTCTTCTGACGATCAGCTTTGGAGCATCTCCTAATGCAAGGAAGCTCCGATGTGCTTCTCTTCCAGAACGTTCTTTCGTGCCCTCTTCCCTTCCTCTGCCACCAGAGACCCTTGCAGCAAAGCTGACCTGCTGGTTGACGGGAAGGGAGCGCTCACCGTGGGCAGTTGCCTGGAGGACCACTGGACCTTCAAGAAATTGATGTTGTCGCTGCTCTGGGAATCGTTCTCAAAGCTCTTTTTGAATTCTAGGAGGAAAAAGAGACGGGTAAATTGTAAAGGGCTATGGAGAGGACCTTAAAGGAACCAGTATCAGGATTCCAGCAATCGCCCTCATTCAATCATGATTCTCGAGCCAAATTTCAAAAAACTTCCAAGGATTCATTAGAGGCGACATCCTGGCACTGCCCTGTACGTGTTGTGGTTCACTGGCAGCAGGTGCGGACGGCTGAAGTCTCAGAGAGCGAGGACTTGGATGAGGGGCCTCCGTGGGGATGCAGGGATGGGGCCAGGACCATCAGGGGGTGGAGTGCGGCCTTCGGAGATTATGGAGGCTGGCAGAAGTGAGGAAGAGGCCCCCGAGGAGCCTGTGCCCAATGCGCATGCATGCAGGGCTGCTCGAAGGAAAGAACAGCTGCAGCAGCACGGGCGACTCGGGAGTAAGTCTGCAAGGTGATGGCCCCTCCCTTAAGGGATAAAAGCCAGCTGAGAACCCAGAGTTCTTTGCAGGAAGCAAAGAAGTTTTTGCACTCAAGCCTTGCGGACATCTGAACTCTCTTAGTTTGTGTTTGGAGACTCTTTGTGTTTGAACTATTTCTTGGCAACTTTATCCAATGCTCTTGGCAGCCTTGCACCACCTTGGCAAGGCTCGTTCTTATCAGAGACAATTAGTTGAAACAACCTTTGAACCGGGAAGGAACGGAATTCGTAAAGAATCATTAAGAGGTTTTGCTGTTACCTCCGTTTGGTGTTGCTTTCCTTGGAACCAGGTTTGGGTCAGAACAGTATGAAGCCAACGGTGGCATCCATAATTTACAATCCCCCGTGACCCTGTTTACTGCCCTTCCCCCTGGGTGTGTCATAAATCAGATTCTCCAATTGAGCACCTTCACGGGCTGGGTGTCATCAATCACCTTCTCCAATTGGATATATTTGTGGGTGAAAGCGCTGGTATTTTAGTTACACTCTTTTAAAGCTAAGAGTTGGAATGTACTTTTGCGTTCAACTGCTCTTCCAGATTTCCTTCCACCACCACCCCATTTTTAATGGCAACTGCTAAAACAGGCGTAGGGATGTTTTATGAGTTGACAACTAGGCTGAGATGCTTTCAAACCCAATAACGTGTTTTAAGGCTGGGAAACAGAGGCAACGCTCGGAAGAAACCCACGCTGGACTTCTTCCTAGTTTACTGAGGAAGGCAAACACACGTTTTGTGGGTTCTGCTTATCTCAACAAAGGACACCTCCTGTCCCTGTCTGGAGTCTCTATCCAGATTTGGACCACTTTGAAGATAGTAAGTAAAGGTGCGGCCAAGCAAAGATGTCGTAATTCCCACTCTGCAAAGAAATGTCTGATGCTTGGGAGAACTTTGGAGAGCTTTCTGAGAAACCACGGGGACCCATCTGACATGTGTTAAAAAGTTCAGATGACCACCAATCAGTGGAAGAGCACGAAGAGGTTCATTTGATGTCTCATGATGGTCATGTCAGCTAAAAAAACAACACTCCTTTGGTCTTTCTGCCAGCAGGAAGGAAGTGCGGGAAAGCAGCGCATTCCTTAAATGCTTCAGATAATTGCTAGGCAGCCGAAGCTGTTGGTGCACAAGATTATTACTGGAGAGCCTGATTGGTGACTCTTGGCTATGGATGTGTCCCATTGGAGAATATACATCCAGGGGATGGGGTGGAGGGAAGGCCAGGGTCAAGGGAGAAATGAATGATGTGTTTTAGTGTTGGCTGCACCCAGTTAACTCCAACATGGTCACTCCTAATAAATCAATTTTTTTTTTACTGCGGCTACAGACTTAGGATTTAAAGGGGGGGATTTGTTAGAGCCCTGACAGGTCACTCTCCAAAAAGTGACCATTATGAGACATCAAACGTGGTTTCTCAACTCGAGGAACTGTAAGATGTGCGGACTTCCTCTCTACAACTTCAACAGTTCTGGTTTCAGTTATACAACGGTTTCTACGAGTCCTTGTATTACTGTGATGTATTTGAACCCAATGTTTTCCAACGTTTTTGCAAGTCCACAAAACATGATAACATGAGTTCCTTCAGGTTTTCCATACTTCTACACCATATCCTGAAGTGTGTGGTCCTCGGTGCTCGGTGGCTTATCCAAAGTTGGAGAAGAAGTTCTGACCTCGATAGTTGACCCGAGCAGACTCTCCTTGGGCATTCATAGATACACTACAGGTACCCTCACCTTCCAGACAGGTGGAGTAGAATTCAATGAAGAATTTTGTCCGGCTGGCTGTCTTCACAATGGCTTCGATGCTCTCGAACTCGATGTAGGCCTGGTCTGAGGATTTGGAGAGGCCTGGAAATGGAGAAAAAGAAATGACTTTACTTTCCCCGAATCTGTTTTAATAAAAATGTAAGGCGGCCCTGTCGAACCAGGCCAAAGTCCACCTTAATTCCAGGTTTGCTTCACTCAATGTTGGAGAGCAGCCATTCCAGTTGTCCTAGTCTTCCGGTCAGAAGGAGGGATCAAAGAAGGGATTAGCATGGACTCGTTAGTTCAGGACTGGGTGAATTCTGGCCCCTTTATGACTGGTGGACTTCAACTCCCAGAATTCCTTTGTTTCCCCCAAAAAAGTTTTTTTATTTTTATTTTTAATCTTTTACATCTCTTTTAGTGAACAGTGTGATTCTAGGTTTCTACACTTCCATACAAACATGACCATAATTACATATATATTCTCATATATTCAGTTTCTTATCATATCATTGCATTTTCCATGTTCTATAAATTTTCAAAAATATTCTTATATGTTTTACTTTTATTTTATCCCATTTTAATTCATATACTTGTTCTATTCTTCTCTTAATTATACTCTTATCTTCGTTATATAATATCTTAACATTCTTTATTTCTTATTCTAGGTTCACTACATTCTTATACTTTTATCTGTCATATTCGCCATCTCATCACATCTTCTTATTTCATTATTCAGTCAATCCCGTCTTAATATTGATAATTCCAAAGATTCCCCCCTTAATTACCCATTTGAGGGCACCACCAGCTGGCTCGGGAATTCTGGGAGTTGAAGTCCAGCGGTCGTAAAGGGTGTAGTTCCCAACCCCCCTGCACACAAGAAGCCAAGGTCTGAGTCAGGCATTTGTGCCTTAACTAGCCTTTCCCTGGACCAACCTGTCAATCTGGGAAGATTCCTGTAAAATAGGCAGAGAGCAATAAAGTAGCTAGTCTGAACTCTACCCATGTGGGCCTGGTCCTTTGGGCTTGATACCCAGAGGCCAAAGAGATGTTCTGACATGTTCACATCATTACAGATGTGGGGTCCTTGGTGCTCTCTGAGCTTGTCTTCTTGCAGATGTTTCATCGCCGAATCCGGCTCCTCCTCCATCGTTGCCAGTCAAGGAGGAGGTTTTGCTAGCACTAGCACTGATGACGTTAGCGGGTTTGGCGATGAAACGTTTTCAAGAAAACAGTCCAGTTGGAACGACTTGCCTCAAGAAGCTGTAAATGCTCCAACACTGGAAGGTTTTTTAAAAAAGATGTTGGATGACCGTTTGTCTGAAGTGGTGTAGGGTTTCCTGCCTAGGCAGGGGGTTGGACTAGAAGACCTCCAGGGTCCCTTCCAACTCTGTTATTCTATTCTATTCTAAAAAGTTCAGAGGGCATCAAGGACCCCACAACTGAACCCTGAGCTACAAACATTCTGTTTTATAACAGTAATTGTTGCGTTGCTCCCTGTAATTGGTATTCTGGAGGCGACATGTTTTTAAGACTGATCTCCTGCATGGATTCACACAATCCCCTCTGAAAGCAAATCCAGGTTAATGGATGTAACCACACTTTGAGGAAGCAACTCGCCCAGGTCAACGTTACACTTGTGAAAAAGTGCCCCCTATTGTCGATTGTAGTCTTCCTTTCCATCAGGTTTCTTAGCTGGCCCTGGATACTACTGCTGGGAAGTGAAAAGCTTTTTCCTTGGATAAACTCCTTATCAGATCATTTATTCACACACAAACACACACCACCCAACCCTCTTCCCTGGAGATACCTTTTTTGGAAACGAACTGAGACGTGACTCCAACTTCAAAGGCCGCGAAGACCGGAGAATGGTCGCTGCTCATGATATCATCTGTACAGCCTGACCAAGAAAGCGAGAGATGTCTTCAACCACGGTGGCATCTACCCTTCGAGGAGGAGGAGGAGGAGGAGGAGGAAGGAGGAGGCTGAAGATGGACCAAGGAGCCCCCATGGAACTGGGATGGACAGGCGGTTGGCCAAGAGACTGCCATTCACCACACAACGCCTGAAGTAACTCATAGTTGTACGGCAGAGAAGATGGGGAGGTGCTAGCAGATGAAGGTGTCTATGGTCCAGCTCTGACCACCTCCAGGGAGGCCCGCAGTGCCACGTTCGCATGGAACTCACCATAGGAAGTGCTGTTGATGTGTGTCTCCGGGTAGGATTTCCAGAGGATGCGGTCACACCAAGAAGGGACGTTGGTCCTGACCTGGGACAGGGAAAACGAGAGAGACATTTTGGATACTGGATCAAGAACACGCAACCATGTTGGCCAGATACCTTTTTTAAAAAAAAAATAATCCAGGCTCTGAACATGGAGGGAACAGCCAAGTAAACCTCGTTGAGGTTGTTGTGTGAGATTGGATTCATGCAGAGATGTTGGGAGTCCCTTGGCGATACCCAACTCAAGGTAGATGAATGTCCTGCTTTTGGCCAAGAGAAGACGACCTCAGGTGAGCAAACCAGGAGATGGAGGCTTCTGCGTTTGTTCCTGGGCCACACGGACGAGTTAGAGCAGCGTTTCTCAAGCATGGCCACTTTAAGACATGTGGACTTCAACTCCCAGCATTCCACTCTAAGATGCCTGGATTTCAATTCTGAGGGTTCCACTTTAAGATGCACGGACTTCAACTCCCAGCATTCCACTCTAAGATGCACGGACTTCAATTCTGAGGGTTCCACTTTAAGATGCACGGACTTCAAATTCCACAATTCGTTTTTAAGATGCACAGATTTCAATT